ACTGCAGGATTGCTTGTAATAAAGAAATAGATGCAAAAGGAAAGGCAGTAGAGCTGACTATTTCTGTCAATGGTAAGTTTGTGATAACGTAAGAAAAGTAGTTTAAATGTTTTGCCACTTGCTTGAGCAACTTAATATATAAATCTAGAAGTAAATGCAAAAGTTTAAAGCATTGAATAATGTGTTGCTTATATTTATTGTGTTTAAACAAGATTACTGTACTGTGTAAAAAAAAGAATTGCAATGCTGAAAAAGCATTTTCAGTGACAATGTTTGGATTTGAAATCAAAATAATGTATAAATGTTGTGTTTGTGGTAAACAGCCACGGATCAGTAGCAGACTCCTGTGTGAAAGCTGCTTCACAAGAGTCACCTAAGAGGGCAATTACCCCCATTTTCAAAAATGAAATTCAGGCCCTGAATAAATGTTGGGAGTATCACTATAAATAGTTATAAATGATAAAAAAAGAAGGCTTTAAATGGGCGGTATGACCAAAAATGTATATCACGGTATTTTTCAAAATTATACCGTTTCACGGTATATGGCGGTATTTTTTCATGCATGAGCAGGTGTTAACCACATTTTCTACTGACTGAGAAAGGAAATACTGCAGTAGATTTACTTAAAATGCCCTATTTTACTGTCATGATGAGTGAATATTGTAGAAAAATTCCACACTAAATGGTGACTAAACACAACTCAATGAATGTTAACCAGCAGTCACTGTCATTTATAATCGCGCCAACACTAAAGAGCGACTATGTGGTGGTTTTGGCTATATTACTTTTTTGTCGCATGCAGCGCACTGCCTGCGTCTGAGTAACAAACTAAAAAAAACAACAAACAAAAAAAAAGTGCATAATATTAATAGACGAACTATGCTCATATTTATAATTCCAAACAGTCAGTTAGCAACAGGTGCTTGGAAACGCTGTTTTGTACTCATTTATTGACGATTTATTGACCTGTACCTGAACTTTAAAGGGAACTCTTCCCTCTTTTTATTTGTGGTATGCTGTCTACAAATTTTATATTATTGTAATTCTATGACAGTAATAGCCATATATTGTAAAACAATTGCACTGTAAAATAATCTAAATTACATTCACACTGGTGTTTTAGGAAGCCAAACAAATTAGAATATAATATCAATAATAACAACAATTTTATATTATTGTAATTCTATGACAGTAATAGCCATATATTGTAAAACAATTGCACTGTAAAATAAATGAAAATGAATATTTCATAGGTATATTATTTTTGCTTTACACTACAGTAGGGAAATTACAATACTACTTTCCTAATTTCTACACTTGAAAGAGATCTTTAGAATTTGGACTGCAGTAATGTTACCCATTTAAACCACTAGCTGTCAGCAATTCATACTGCACTTTTATTTTAGATTTTAGCTTTTATTTTGACGGAAACGGCAGTAGAGCTTTTGTTTTGAAGGAAAACTCCAGCTTCAGTGAAAACAGGATTGCAAAAATGCGTCTCACTACAAATCTAGTGAAGTGCTGTAATCATCTGCCGTGAAAATAAAGCATAACTGGTGGCCGATGCATTCCAAAGCTCACGCTAAACTCACTGCACATGCAATAAATGAGTTCACTGCATTCATTCAGTGTGAACAGAGCCGCGGAAAACACCGGATCACGAGCTGATCGCCTGAACAAAGTGCGCGTTTCAAAGCAAAAACAGACTTGTTTGTGTCATACCTTGCATTTAAGCCCTAATGTGGGTTTGGTGAGGACAGGTGGTGAACGACTCAACTCTTCCTCATCATCTTCATCCTCGTCTTCACTGCTCTCACTGATGAAGGCTGGCGAGGGTTCACTCAGCCTTGTGGTGTGGGCCAAAGATGGCAGGTCATCTTCAGGCTCCTCACTAAGCCTGCGTTTTGGGCCACGCTTTTTCCGCGGAGGCCGCCCTCTGCTGCGTGACTGTGGAACTGCGAGGTGCCTAGAAGCCTCCAAGGGACAGGCTGATGTGGAGTCAGGCTCATATTCTAAGGACAAGAGCATCGGTGATGTTGTCACTTTATTAATGCCAGTTCTTTCATCCTCTTCATCATCATCCTCCTCCTCTTCTTCTTCATCATCATCATCCTCCTCCGGGGGCCTTAGTTTACGGGGTCGACCTGGTCCTGTACGTGGTACATCCTTCACCTTGCCCCATAACCAGTTTTTGGGAGGGCGGCCAGGTCCCCTGCGCTCCCCATTAGCCGTAAGAAAAAGGGGAGAACGCTCAGGACTGAGAACACTGTTGCAAACAGAAGAGGATGGAGGAGAGCTTTGGTTTTTTGGGAACGCTGGGAAGCTCTTTTTCCCTTCCTCCTTTTCCCGTTCCCCTTTCAAATGCCAAGAGAGTGGGGAGCTCTTGTGGCTGGGTTTGATCTATAGAAGAGACGCAGAGAACAGAAGTTCAGCTTCAGTATGCACTGGTACTAGAGCTGCACAATTCTGGACAAATTGAGAATCACGATTTATTTATATATTTTTTTTAAATAGAGATCACGTTTCTGAACTAAGCTAAATAACATGTAATTTACTAGAGGCTGTGACAAAATAAAGCAATAAGCCCCAAGAAGCCGTGGTTTTACAGTGAATTTATAACAGCTAAGGGCCGTTGTTAGACACGATGAGAAGCCCCCCTTAGCTATTATAAATTAACTGTAAACCACGGCTTCACGGGGCTTATTGCTTTTATAAAACGGTTATTCCATATACGTAGTAAGGTTTCACAAAATAAAACCGAGCAAATAAAGTGTAATGATATTAATAAAAACAGTATTCTTCCACCAAACAATGTAGCTCCTCAGAATCAGTTGTGGTTGCTACAAAGTGGTTGCCGAGCAACAGACAAACGTAAACAAAGGTGTATGTTACTTTGTAGAGTAATTTACAACAGCTTCGAACGCGACAGCCAATCAGAATCAAGGACCGGAACTCTCCGTTTTATAATACTAATTACCTCATTCCATTAAAAAATGTTTAAATTAATTTGAAACAATTGTGAATTTTTTTTTTTTTTTTTTAATGAATTCAAAGACTCACTCATAAATACTTCACTTGGTCCATTACTGAATGAATCAGCAGTTTTGAACAAATCTCTTGAATGAATGATTCAATGGCAAATGCATTATTTAACAGTCACTTGTCGCCACCTAGTGGCGAAACAATGTAATCAACATTGTAATCAACAAACATTATTTGAAGCGAAAATTACTTTCAAAAGATGATTTGCTCCATTTTTAGAAATAAGACTGCATGGATGAATTGAGATCGCGATCTTTTAACGATTAATCGTGCAGCTCTAACTGGTACACATAAACACTGCATCCACTGAACCTAGCAAAAAAGTCAAGATGCTTACATCTTTAGGTTCCTCCTCTCCTCCTTCCTCTTCCTCATCTTCATCCCCTTCTCCTTCAGTTACTACTGTGTTGGTGACGATAACAGGCGTCCAGCGCAAGCAGTCTGGATCAACTTCAAGGAGCCGAGGTTTGGCTTTAAGTCGGGCCATGTGCGAGGCCACCAGTTTCTCTCTTCGCAGGATAATCACTCTATAACAAGAAAGGACAAATCAGGAAACTACTATACAGACTGCTACAAATGTAACAAACATACAACACCATTTAAAAGTTTGGGGTCAGTAAGATTTCTTAATGTTTTGGAAAGAAGTCTCTTATGTTCACCAAGCCTGCCTTTGATATAACAATTAATAAGAGTAATATGGAGAAATATTACAATTTAAAATAAGCGTTTTCTACTGTAATACATTTGTGAATATAGTGAACTTTCAGCATCATTACTCCAGTCTTCAGTGTCACATGATCTTCAGAAATCAATCTAATATGCTGATTTGCTGCTCAAGAAACATTTCTTATTAATACTGAAAATAGTTCTGCTGCTTAATACTTTTGTGGAAACTGTAAAAAATGTTTTCAGGATTCTTTGATAAATATTAAATGTTCAAAAAGAACAGCACTTATTTGTAATAGAACTAAGGTTATTTTAAGGTGTCCGTGTTACATTGTAATTATACATTTAAGTACCGAGTAATATTATATTTTATCTATAGCACACCTGAACATACAATTTATTTAATTTTTCAATTTATATTTTCTATTTTTTGTTTATTTATATATACACGTGTGTATTTTATTCACATCTTATTTTTTATTATCCGTGTAGTTGTTGTCTCTGTGTACTGGAAGCTTGTGACACCAAAACAAATTCCTTGTATGTGCAAACATACTTGGCAATACAGCTCTTTCTGACTTCTGACTAATAAAGCAATAAGCCCCGTGAAGCCGTGGTTTAAAGTGAATTTATAACAGCTAAGGGGCGTTGTTAGGCACGACGCCAAGCGGAGAAACCCCCCTAGCTATTATAAATTCACTGTAAACCACGGCTTCACGGGGCTTACTGCTTTTATAAAACGGTTATTCCATATACGCAGTAAGGTTTCACAAAATAAAACAGAGCAAATAAAGTGTAATGATATTACAAAAACAGTATTCTTCCACCAAACAATGTAGCTCCTCAGAAACAGTTGTGGTTCCAACAAAGTGGTTGCCAAGCAACAGACAGAAGTAAACAAAGATGTATGTTACTTTGTAGAGTAATTTACAGCAGCTTCGAACGCGGCTCAACCAATCAGAATCAAGGACCGGAACGATCCGTTTTATAATATTAATTTACTACATGTACTTACTATATGGTTAGGATTAGAGTTTGGCTTCGTGTTACTCGTTACTTCGTGTTAGTACATTTAACGTGCAACAAAGACACCTTAAAATAAAGTGTTACCGAACTCTTTTGTAACAAATGTCTCTTCGGTCACTTTTGATCAATGTGGTGCATCCTTGTTTTAGCACTAAACCATGTATACTCAATGAAAATCAGTGTGTGAGCATCTCTCTCACCGGTCTCCTCTCTGTTCCAGCATATTCAGATTAAGCAGAGTGGCTGTGATATCTTGAGGACAAATGCCAGTGACTTTGCTGAGTTTGCGGATGGTGAGCTGTCGATCGCTGATCTCATGTAGGCACTCCAGCACCACACTACGCCAATATGCCATGTAGGAAAGCCGGCCAAGGTCTGACAATGGCTTCTCTGGTGAACCCGGCTGGCCTTCCCTCTTAGACAGCAGGTAACCTGCAGAGAGAATCATAACAGTTTATCCTCGGTGTCTAATGACACTATCTGAAGGAGTAGAATTTTCAAATGTTTTCTTTGCAAAAAGAGTTAACAGTGGAAAGATAATGCATTACTGTTTGCATTAATGAGTGCTTACTGAAGTCAATGAGGAATCGCCCATAGCCCTTGCGCTGGTATTGTGGAAGAATCATAATGCAGGATACGTTATACTTTTGTTGACAATGCTTCTCCTGGGGATTAAAAAGGGGGGGGGGGGTTGTACAATTCAAGCAAATGTAACAAACACACTTCTATCCATTGTGCCAAACAATGTATTTGTCAGGTATGATCGTATTCTGTTTAAAATTGCATATACTGCCCATACTGAACACCATACACCGCTATCAATTTAGTTCTTAAAATTATTTAAACGGAGTGCATAAACAGCATCCACGATTCACCCTCAAAATAGGCAAAAACCTGTTAATTTAAAAAAAAAAAAAGTTCACTTTAAACATCTTTCCAGGAGGATAATCAACCCATAAAGAAGCAAACAAAGCATCTACTGTAAGCAAGCCACAAAAGTAGTAAAAATGTGCAAACAAACCCAAATTGCTCAACACTGTCAAGTAACTCAAAAAAGGTTTAGCTCACCTTTGAAAAGTATCCTACGAGATGGCAGCCCTTGCTGTCATTCTGTGTGAGCACATAGAAGAGGAAGGGCTCCACGTCATAATACAGCGTCTTATGGTCCAGGAAGAGCTTGGCTAGCAGGCACAGATTCTGACAGTATATTGTGCTGACATTTCCATCCACCTGGAGTGTAGAAAAGATGTTTTCAACCTTTGGTTGACTGTTTTAAACAGCAGATTTAATATGTATCCAATTCTGGTCATAACTTGGCGAAAATAAGCACATAACCGCTGTGTCGTGCTGCTTCTATTCTAGGTGTTTTCATGAAGGCTTTTCAGTCCGATTGCGAACGGATTATTTGGTTGCCAATGTGAAGTGACATTGCTAGGCTTCAGATAATGCAACACTAACAATCAACTCTCATTCATAATATTTGCAAAATGCAATGTCTGTAAGACTCTCAATTACTAAATACTAAACGTTTTGAAAGAAGTCGTGCAGCAGAGACTGGCATGAAACTCACTCCACAGTGATAAATTGCACGGCTCCTGCTTCTCCTATGGGCTGAATGCCAACAGTGTTCGCTTTTAGCAGAGCTGCCACCACAGGTATCCTGCTGAGTCAGGACCAGACTGAAACCTGAGCCTCTAAAACCAACTGGCCAAACAAGGCAAGCAGTAACACACCCGACAACACAGAGTAGTGTTGATTAATGTGGAACATACAGGCTATGGTCACCGTCATTTTGATTTTTTATAGTAATAAAAATCATTTAGTTCAGTTAGAGAACAGACACTACAATTAAAAACTGAACGCAGCTGCTCAATGCAGCGTGTCGAACGACAGTCGCATCACAGATCAGATTTCATTTATCACGTGAGGAGAAGCTGACAAGAAGAGTGAGGCGAGACAGACAAAAGTTTCAAAACGACATGCAAAAGCGCCGGTTTAAAAAATATTTTGGATTTTGAAAAGCCTGTTGGCTTCTACAATTTATCTAAGGTGATATTGGACGTTTTTTTTTTTTAATTCGTTCCAGTGTTTGCTGATTTTTATTTAAACGGTGTATTTTTTTATTTTACATCAAGTATGCCGTGTCTCCAAGCTTTCTTATTCGTTTTGGTAATAAACGTACATTTCTTATTTATTTGGTTCCACAGTGTTTACTGATCTTCAGTTTTGTATACCTAAACCTTGTGTAAGTTATTTGTTATTTTATTTTAGGCATATAGCATGGTGTATTTTTATTAGTTTTTTTAAAAAAGGTTCTATGCTCTATGTTGTATTTTGTTGTCGCTTGAATTGAATTCAAGCAATTGATGCCGAATTGCCGCTAATTTGAAAGTGAAAGTTCATGGAACATGATCTTTACTTAATATCATAATGATTTTTGGCATTAAAGAAAAATTGATAATTTTGACCCATACAATGTATTGTTGGCTATTGCTACAAATATACCTGTGCTACTTATGACTGCTTTTGTGCTCCAGGGTCACATATAGTAATTAATATTAAGAAAGTAAGTGGAGGAAACAATGCAATGTTGCTGGTGATTTTGCGTTGGAGCCTTCAGAAAACTTCAACCGGAGATTTCTCAAAACTGACTTTGCTGACTCTATCGACTTCAAAGCTCAGTAATTTTTCATCCGATTCCAACAAATCATGTATCATTTTGAAGGGAGAATGTGAAAATAAAAATAACTCAATTTAGAAAATTTGCTCACTGTGACTCATTTTGCCAGCACAGGTCACATAACCGTAACCGTAACCATGTAAGCTCAGTAAAATCTGGTCTGGCAGCATTGACTTAGACCACACCTATTCAGATCTGCATGACATGTTTACACCTAAATGGTCTTTTATAGAAACACAAAGGATGTAGTAAATCACCATTAGTGATCCTAAAACAATGAGAGCTTGCCGTTCTACATTTATTAGTATCAGTGTGAATGAGATTTCCTTTGTTGGCTCAGAACGTATGAAAACACACATCTGCGTGTGCATGACTAGAGTGTTGACGAGCTTATGTCTTCGCTGCCAAGTGCGTATAAACAAAGACGAGTTTGCACAAGTGTCTGCGTGTATTTGTGGTTTATATCTGGGCGGAGATTTCTTTTCCTCACCTCGAACACGGACACGTCGTCCTTCCTGTAGATCTCGTTGGCAGGTGGGTGGAACCAGCTGCACTTTCGCATGTGCTGGTAGAGAATGCTGCGGCTCTTCATGTAGCGCAGACAGAACTCACAGAGGTAGAGCTTAGGGAGCCTGTCACATCCAAACAATCACACATCAGTTTTTACAGCCTAAGATCAAAGGTGCACAAGCACATCTCTCTTGAGAGAGCATATAAACACACAAAAAAAAAAAAACAGTATGAGGTTAAGATGTTTGACACTGATTCACCATTTCATGACCCCACTGTTAAACTACTGTGTTAAATTGACAGTAGAATATTAAAAATATATATATAGTGGAAGTCATAAAATGTGCCTCATCCGAGGTCACTAGCTGATTTAGGACATGACACAATCAATAACAATTCTGTCAATCAGAAAAGTGGGCATGGCTATTGGCTGATGGATACATTTTAAATGGCCAAATAGGATTCAGTCATACCTGGCCAATATATGACCTTCTAGCACTAATATTCTTGAACACAAATAGATTAAGGCTGTGTTCACACTTGTCATATGTGACCCTGGATCACAAAACCAGTCATAAGGGTAAATATTTTTAAATTGAGATTTATACACCATCTCAAAGCTGAATGATCTTTACTTAATATCCTAATGATTTTTGGCATAAAAGAAAAATGGATAATTTTGACCCATACAATGTATTGTTGGCTATTGCTACAAATATACCCCAGCGACTTAACACTGCTTTTGTGCTCCAGGGTCACATAATAGGTTCGATTAAAACGAACTCTGGTGCGATTGCTCTGTTAGTGCGGTTCATTTCAGTAAGTGTGAAAGCTGCCATCCGAACCTTGGTGCGCAAAAAAACAAGCGGACCGAGACTGCTAAAAAGATGGGTCTCAGTCCGCTTCCAAACGAACTCTGGAGCGGTTCGAATAAAATATGAATGCAACACAGACCAAATACTAACCGAACGAACCAAAAATAGGATGTAATGACAAGATGCGAGGCTATGCAACATGATTTGACGACGTGGAACGAGCGGTGTATCCAAAACAAAATGAGCAGAGGGCAAACGTGGAGCAACGAGGAGGTAAAGTGCCTTTTATGAGCTCTTCGGGAGTTAGCAGGTGGTGAAAATAAAATCATATATACACAAACAATGAGCGCGCTTAGTACAGCAGACGGCATTAGGTGTGTTCGACTTAAAGCGGCACGGTGCAGACCGATTAGTGAATGGGTACTTTGATGTCATACACCGATCGGTAGGAATGGGCGATATCTTATAGTTTGCGATATACCGGTAAAAATTCTCCCCACGATAAGATTTAGTCTTCCCATGATATCGATAAAGTCTAGTTGTTAACATATATCTATGTGCAACTGTGCGGAGTGACATGGCGAAAGGCGGACGTGAAACTGAGGTAGGCCTGTCGCAATAATATATCAACTTATCGCACAATATATGTACATGACCTCAATTTTTGGTGACGCAATATATCGCCCATTATATTTACATACAAATTAATGTTACCATGTTTTTTGCATTCCACTTGCGCCTGTGTCTGTTGCAGCTTCTTGTACATAACGTTCTATTGTCCTCATTTGTAAGTCGCTTTGGATAAAAGCGTCTGCTAAATGACTCAATGGAAATGTAATGTAGTGCTTCTACAAAAAAAAAAAAAAGTTTAATTTGCAGATATGGCCTTGTTTAGAGATCTGTGCCTTTGTGCATACCGACATCTGACTGACTTGCACTTTTTGTTAGAAAATTTACTATTTAAGTTTTTTAAGTTGTCTTATATTTTCATACTTAATTTCCATGATCTAAATATTCTTAAGAATTAAAAGTTTGTTGTCATTTGAAAGTGTGTAGGCCTTCTTGCATTATTATGCCGTTATATTATGATTATATATTAAGTGGCATAAAATGGTCTTAAAATGACAATAAAATCGCTTATCGCAAATTATTTCTGGGGCAATATATCACACAACAAAAAGTTGTTATCGTGACAGGCCTAAACTGAGGAGCTTAGCGCTAAACGAGGAGCTCCTTCTACAATCTGGAACTGGTTTAGTCAGGGCTGTACATTGCGACCAAAAAAAATTTATAAATGTACTACAGTAGCATGCAATACAGTTTTGCATGTGCATGAGCCTGTTTACAAACCTGTTGCCCAACAAATATAAAATAAATAGACATGCATTTTCTCCAAATTAACTTAAGTCAAGTGTTGGAAATAACTTTGTGATCAGATATGGTTTCATATCACAGAATGAGGCAGAAATCATACTATTTTATAGTATTATATACAGTGATAAAGGCTATATCCATTAGCATTGCATTATAGCTAAATATACTTTATCCTCATAAAAATACTCGATATTGCTTGAAGAACACAGATAAACCATATATTGTCGCAATCGTATGTTTGTGGTCTTCCAGTTTCATCAGTTAAAATCTCTCTAGCTACCACGATAGCTGGATGCCTTTGTCCATATTAGGGATTTCCTGGAACGTTGTCAGTGCTAATACTTCTGCTATGGATATGTGGACTTTCTGCGCGTCATTACATTACGTGTGTACTCCGTAATACTTACTCACAACACCCTCTTTTGGGAAAAATAGGAAAAATAACACCTTTCTCTAAAGAGACAGGATTTTTTTTGTCTCTTAGTGGATGCATAAGATTCCCTGAATTATCGTCACTGATATCGTTATCTCAATAAATACCAGAAATTATTGTGATGTAATTTTAAGCCTGTATCGCCCATCACTACCGATCGGTCTGCGCAGCGCCGCTTTAAGTCGAACACACTTATTGTTTGGGAAGTACCGTCACTAAATATACATCATTCAACCCAACCAATCAGGTTGTGAATGTATTAATATGCCTTTAGGTATGGTATCTTTAGTTAAGCGGACCAGGACCAAATGTATCGTTTTCATTTTTGGTCCGAACCAAGAGAACCGAACTACAAGTGTGAACGCACCGTAAGATGCTGAAGCTGCAATTAACAATATTATCTTAATGGGAATATATATATATTTTTTTATGAAAAAAAATGTCAAAGTTTGTGGATGATTATGACACATGCTGTTGGTTACCTGCTGTACTCCTGTGGGTATGGAGAAGAGTACCACGTCTGAATTTCATACTTCCCAAACTCTATAACAGATGGGCAGCGCATCTGGGGGTCCGGTGGACCAGTCACCCCGACTTTCTATAGGAGTTGAAGTAAATAAAAAAAAAAATAGGAGTTATGGCAAAGATAAAGTGGGCAGATTTACTTTATAAATGTACTACAGTAGCATGCAATACAGTTTTGCATGTGCATGAGCCTGTTTACAAACCTGTTGCCCAACAAATATAAAATAAATAGACATGCATTTTCTCCAAATTAACTTAAGTCAAGTGTTGGAAATAACTTTGTGATCAGATATGGTTTCATATCACAGAATGAGGCAGAAATCATACTATTTTATAGTATTATATACAGTGATAAAGGCTATATCCATTAGCATTGCATTATAGCTAAATATACTTTATCCTCATAAAAATACTCGATATTGCTTGAAGAACACAGATAAACCATATATTGTCGCAATCGTATGTTTGTGGTCTTCCAGTTTCATCAGTTAAAATCTCTCTAGCTACCACGATAAGATGAAGTACCAAAAAAAAAAAAAAGGAGTTAAGACAGATATAGTGGGTACGTTTACAATTTAGAAACTATTAGGCCACTATGCCTTTTTTTCCAAGAGCATCCTGCCACACACAAAAGAAAACAGTCGCTCTCTTTCACACAAGAAATACGCCTTTCGTTCTAATGATCACAAACAGTTTCTCACAAGCATACAGCACCACACTCAAGCTTACAGGATTATTATTAGCTCTTATCCACAGCCCAAGTGGAAATTCAGAGCATCTGCCACTTGCCAGCCTGCTGACACTCAGTAGTGATCACACACTTCTCTGCATCTCACACACATACGCAAAGTGGAGGTGAAACAGCTCGTTCAGAACATGCCATGTTGGATTTAAAAATATAAATGTTTGTGAATTGTAGCATTTCTACGTTCGAAACTAATTACGGCAATTCTGCTGAATCTCTGTGCTGTTAAAGAGGAAACAAACATGCACACACAAACGAAAGCAAATGCAAATCGGAGCAGGTCTATACAAGTATAACAAGTGCTATAAGTATAACAAGTGATATAACAAGTGCTTGCAATTAGGCTGCACATGGATCAATAGAAATAGTTCGTCTATGTGCATGTTCAGTGAATAGCCTACAAGATGTATTTGTTGCAATATTACTACCAGCAATAACAATATACAATACAATATTTTGTAGATGGTATTGCATAGCTCTCTCATTTTTGAATTCATAAAGTTGCCTTCGGTGAGTCAATCCCATACTTAAATGCAGCTACCGCTCCCTAAACTTTGCAGTGTGTACATGTCCTAAATGTTATAGAGCCCACATTCAATTAATACTGTCAGACTGCAGCATGGTATCTTTCTTTTCTGGCTGCTCAACAAAAGCATGCTGGATCTGTCTGATGCTACGTGCGAATATGATTGTCTCTCTCTGGGTTAGTGAGTGTTTTTCTTCGACTGATGGCCTCAGGCAGTCAGAGACTGGCTGCTTCTGCTGGGACCTTCAAACTGAGAGAGGCACCAGCTGTCAAGATAATGGAAACTCTCAAATCCCCCACATTACATTCTGCAGAGATAAAGGCCTTCGCAGCTTCCAAGTCTTTGCTAATACAGCAAAAGAGAATCAGTGAGTGCAGACAAACAACAGGCACCACTACCATCAAGCATACTGTTTATCGACAAGAAGGATTCACTTTGTTTATACTAAAATCCGTCAAAGTTTACACATTAGCATATGCATTTAATTAAATGTTCAACTCTGAATTTTTGTTGTTAATGCATTTATTAAATTTGACTTATTACAGTATAATTCTGTTCTGTCTCTCTCACACACAAACACACACATATAGGAGCATGTTTCTCAGCAAATGAAAAAAGGATTATTTATGAACGAAATTCAGATGGGACATTTAACAAAAGCAAATTAATGTGTATTTGTATTTTGTCCCGTTCTGTACCTGTAGTGCCAGATCCTGAATGTGCCTAAAGAGCTCCACATCTTTCTCAGTTAGGTTCTCGTGTCCTGGCAGTTTGTCTTCGTCCTCCCGCCAGTTGTCTCCACACTCCTGATTGTCTGTGATTCAGAAAAACACCACGGCCAAAGAGTGAGTGAGAGCACAAACATGAAGCTAAATAAAAGAGACAGCACATTCAGATTTAATTTGTACTTTTCATGTCCTACCCAGACTTCTTTCTTCAAATATCAGATGACAGTAAAGCCATTTATAATATTATAAAAGGTTACACTTTATTTTAAGGTGTCCTTGTTACAGTGTAATCATACATTTAAGAACTGAGTAATTAACTGCATGTACTTATATGGTTAGGGTTAGGATTTGGCTTAGGGTTCCTTATATGAAATTATGCATAATTTATTGTTATTATAATAGTAAGTACATGTAACGTAAATATTTTCTATAAAATATTTTCTATTTCAAATAAATGCTGTCCTTTTGAACATTCTATTTATTGAAAACTCCTGAAAAACAAAAAATGTACATCACTCACATCATAGTGTTACTTGCGTATGTAAAGCACAAAAAGTCAGCACAACATTACTCCAAGAAATACCTTCCAGTGGTCCCACTTTATATTAAGTGGTCTTAACCACTATGTACTTACATTTAAATTAATCATTTGGTGCAATGCACTTATTGTGTACATACATGTTTTTACATTGTACTTATATTTTAAAAATACCT